AAACAAGGGCAAATTTAAGATATTCTTGTAGGTGACAAAAAGCTGCTGCTGTCAATACAGGAAACAATCTGCAGATGCAAACAATAATGCAGCAAATCCAAGGAAAAAGTTGTGGAAAACACTACTCGCAACCCAAGTCCACTTAGCGCTCACAAGTTTCAGCTCTTTCTTGCTGTGCATTCTAAGGTGAAGAGAATCAGCCAGTTTGTTAGATCCAATGAATATTCAATATGCAAACATACATACATACAGAATTTAAGGTATTTGTTCCCAAGAGTGACACACCCTCCAGAGACAAAATCCCAAAACCAGGATATTATGTGAACCACCCCATAAAACAAACCTAACCTTTCCTAGCCTCTATTCATTCCCTAGACAGGGGGCTAGCCCCCCTGTACCACACTTTTATTAGAACTTATAGAAAACGGATATTAAGAACTCTGGCTGTGTGATGGAGTTGTGGACATATGTTGCTTTTTATTATATATCTTGTGCTCTATAAGGTGATGGAGTCCATTTCCTCTTATCTCTGTGCATTGCTCTCGGTATATTATACTGAAATCAATACATATCTATCAGTCTAGATATGCATATCTACTTGCCAGAGTGATAGATAAATGTAGATCTATCAGATAGATAGACAAATATGCCTTCATTTCTGTGAATACGGCAGACTAGAGTTGGTCTGCGTTCCCCGCGCAAAAATTATTTGGATAAATTCTGTTCGCACGAATGTCGTTCTCGGGTAACTTTTCTCAAATGCTTATTTCTTTTTTAAATCAACTTCCACGCATAAAATTCTTTTGACCATTCCATGCACGTGTTTCATCATCTGTCCGTGCACATGGAGAGACAAAATGATGTTTTCCGCGCATGTAAAAATTTAATATTCCTTGCACAAGAAAAATACTCCACAGTCTGGTGAATACATATGTCCGTATATATGATAATTCATTGGGTTGAGCCTTGCACAATTTTAACAAACCAGCTAAATGTTTGGTGTTTGGGGAGGTGCCCCCAACCAATCCTTCCCTCAGTATTTACACCCAGTCAAGGAAACTTGGATTGTTAAATAAATTTTTTAAGACATGGAATTTGGGTCTTAGGCTAATCTTCGCTGAGTGCATCCTTACTGTAAAGCAATACCAATCTGGCACATGAATTATGTAAGTCATATGCAAAATAAATAAATAAGCACAACAGAAATATCTGAAAACCACAATTTACTCAGCTACTTTGGACAAGCAAATAGCAATAGACTGTGGAGTCTCCACCTCTGCCAAGCCATGATGTTATTCATGCTAGCAGTTTGCTTGGACCTATATGGACTATTTTGACAGTAAGATGTGGTGGAGCTTTTGCATACTAGGCTTGGGGGACTTCATACCCCAAAAGTGTTTTTTGGGGGGATTGCCAGCTCTCTAACATTGACATATATATATAAATGCATTATATACTTTATCCTCACAATTACCACAGGATTCTTCAGGTTCTCTCCACCTATCAGGTCTAGGATCATCAGTACTGTTGCCCAGTGCCAACTAAAACCACTATAAATGCAGTTGGATTCCATTAATGCCAAGCACTTGGGAGTTTATGATGCAGACCTATTCTAAAAAAATACACAGTCCCACTCTAGAAATTACCGTTTGTCCTCATTCCCTTGCCTAACTCCGCCCTGGTGCCATCCGCGTCTGGCTGTGTCCATCGCCTGGCGCTGCCTCTGGCCCTCGTCGCTTGGCCGTGGCCCCTTCACTTGCACTGCCCTGGCGCCTTTGAGTCTGGCCGTGCCCCTTCCTCTAGCGTCGCCCTGATTTCCTCAGAACCTGGATGTTCCCCTTACCTGGCGTCGCTGTGGTGCCCTCCGAGGTCTGGCGGATCCCGACTGGAGGCGCTGCTTGTGACACTTGAGGTGGAGGGACATGTGGTCGTCGCAAGTCCACCCGCTCAATAACCTCACTTCCACTCACTCCACGCCCACGCCCACGCCCACGCCTTATTCCGGATTCCATATTTGTAAGAACAAGGCTCTTATGCCGTTCGAGCTCTTGAATCAGTGCGGTCAACTGCCCCGGAAAGCCCGCTTGCGGAATAGGCCTTGGGCATGAGCCTCGATCACTGCCTTGGCGAGACTCACAACTTGCCGAATTGATTTGCACAAATACAGGCTCGCTTACACAACAGCACTGATATCTTCTTTTTCCTTCTTGTATGTTATATTTCTACATAAAACTATGTACTTTACAAATAATGAACTGATATACAAATTCTGAGCAATAATTCTTTTCGGCCACTGGGATTAATCTTAGAAATTCGTAGGATTAGAATTCCGGCGTTATTTTAACAGCGAGTACTTTTCAATCTCTCATCAAGCAATTGGAATTTGTATAGATGGTTTGCAGAGTTTATTCCTTGAACATCTACATTTATTCATGCAATGATGAAAACCACTCAAGAACAAATAGAGAGTCGAAAAAATCATTTTAAAGACACAGTTATT